GAACATTTCGAACATTACGAATTCGAACAATTTGAACATTCGAACAATTCGAACAATTCGAACAAAAACGAACCGAACACGAACAGACTCTTCACGAACAATTTCGAACACGAGCCTATTTCAAACAGACTATATTTCAAACGAACCAAACACGAACATGAGCATTGTTCGTTCGTGTTCGATTCGTTTACACCCCTAATTGCAGGCCTCGCCAACGTCTTATAAAATTTTCCTTTCAGTCTAAGCGCTACTTTTCTATCACACAAAAGGCCCGAAGCATTCCTCCACTTCAACCAACCAACTTGAATTCTACTATTAACATCCTCATCTATATCACCATCGCTTTGAACAACAGACTCGAGATATCTAAATCGTTCATACCTTTTAATAATTTGATCACCCAAAGTTATACTTCTATCACTAGAACTACTACTAAAATTACATTACATGTATTCAGTTTTAGTTCTACTCAAATGAAGGCCTTTAGACTCCAATATAGACCCCCATAAATCAAGTTTTTCCTGGGATTTTTCTCTCGTCTTATCCACGAGAAGTATATCATCAGCAAAAAACATACACCAAGGTACATCCTCCTGTAAATTTCCACTAAGACCATCCATAACTAAAGCAAAAAGATAATGTGAACTTATTGTAATATACATATATATATAATACCAAGATATCTTTGATGCAGGTCAATGTATTAAATTATACAAAATTAATTCTCTGTGTTTGTGATCATATTTATTGTTAAGCTTATTAAAATTAAAAGCATATTGGCGTTCCTTTCTTTTTTCTCTACGCTTCTCCATTACTTGTCTTGTAACAAAATTGTTTCCATGATTTATCTTCCTAGCATGAAACCAAAATTGTTACTCAGAAGTATTCAAATTGATTATGAGAAATTTTTGTAATACGTCTTAACCTATGTTCAATTACCCTCTCCCATAATTTTAAAGTATGACACATCAACTTAGTTCCTCTATAATTTGCACACTCTTATGCATCCCCTTTATTCTTAAAAATGAGGACCAAAATATTCTTCCTCCACTCCTTAGGCATCTTTTTAGTTTTTAAAATAATATTAAAGACTTTAGTAAGCCAAGAAACTCTCAAATCTCCTAAACATTTTCATACTTCATTTGGAATATCATCAGGTCCTACAGACTTTCCACCCTTGATTTTCTTTAAAGTCTCCTCAATTTCTTTTTTAATAATGCGACGGTAAAAATGAAACATTTTATTATTATTAATCATATTAAAATCACTAAGGTCGATTTTATTTTCAGAAACTTCATTAAAAAGTTTATCAAAAAAACTAACCCACCTATGTTGACTATTTTTTTCTAATAAAAGCACTTTTTAATTTTCATCTTTAATACACTTAACTTGAGTTCAATCTTTACTTTTCTTTTCTCTTTGCTTGGCTAGTTTATACATATATTTTTCACCCTCCTTAGTATCTAATCTATTATAAAGATCATTAAAAGCTGAATTTTTAGCGTCACATATTGCTCTTTTAAACTCTCTGTGGGTCGTTTGATAATTTTCACAGTTCTCTAAGCTTCTACATTTAAACCAATTTTAATAACATAACTTCTTATATTTTATCTTTAAAAAAAATTAATTTGCTTTGAAAAACACTTGTATGTTGTTTTGAGTGTTTTAAAAATAACTAACCAAGTTATAACATACCGAACATGTTTCATTTTAAGTAAAAATATAAACAAAAAAATCAGACACAAAAATAAAAAATCAAAAGTGATCCCAGATGACCCCTAAATAAAAAAAATTGTGAGTTGGAGATATTATCTCAAAAGAGGGCACTTGTGGAATCTGCTTGCGCCCTTTGTGTCTGATATACTTATGATTAAATTTCGAAAAAAAAAGCCTTTCCATCAAAATGAAGTCTTTCTTTTCGAGCCAGACAGTAGCATTAATGCTTCCTAAAAGTTTTTGCTGGATCTTTCCTGCAATATGCTAGAATGGAATCATATTTCAGATCAGCATTTGAAAGATACTTAATTCAGTAATTAATTGTAAAAATGTATTAAGAGACCAGTGGTCCCTTTCATGTTAAAATAAAATAAAGGCACGTAAAATCATTTATAAATAAGGCATATGAATAAATGGACTTTTCACTATGTCATAAATGATTTGAACAGCTTTATACAATAAGTCTATATAACTTCAAACTAGTTGCATCAGAAAACTAGAGTACTTCATCGGAATTTCATCAGTTGAATGTCCAACTCTAGACATCAAAACATTTGTGAGCAACAAATGAATCTTAAGGGATTATTTGGTAGCACCTTTCTAATAGGATTTAAGCTGGATTTAGCGTAAATCCAGCCGAACATATAAATGTCTGCAAGTTAAATCCAGTGATGGTTGAATCCGGCTTTCTTCTTGTTTCACCCGTAAATCTGAATTTACTAACTCCACTAGTAGGACGGATTTGACAAATCCAGATTTATAGGATTTGCTAAATCCTATTCAAGTTAAATCCTGCTTGCAACCAAACAGCCCCTTAGATCTTCTTAGCCTTGCTGCTCTTAGTTTCTAGACATTGCCATAGCAATCATTTTCAGCAATCTCAGTTTTCAATGTCTCGGCAAACTCCGTAAACAGAAAATGTTTGCACATAACACCCTCCTCAGATTCACAAAAACACTTTTATACGAGGCTAAAGCATCGCCATTAAAAATAAAAAAATAAAATAAAAAAGCATTACTCACTTGCCTCCAACAGCAAAGGCAATCAAACAAGACATATTCCTCGTAAAAAAGTATCGGCCACCTGGCTGTAGGTTCCAGTCACTATTCTCGTCCAGAAGCTGGAACCCCGCAGCAATCAACTGCCTCTTGGCTTCAGCTGTCAAAAAGAACAAAATGAAACTATAAAGCACATTATAGACTGACCTAACATCAAAAAAATAAACCAAAATCAAGAATTAATAGATGCATCGCCCACCGGTGGCGTGGAACTGCGTCCACGACTCGTTTAGGTAATCCAGAAGGCCGTCGACTATGGCGGAGGAATGGTGGTCTCCACTAATTAAGCCCTGTATCACAGCGAGGGGATAATGGAAGGAAGGCGTCGAGTAAGAGGACATGATTGGAATGCGAAGGAGGAAAAGGGCGAGAACGAACCTGAATAGGCAAGTTAGAAGACATAGTGCAGAGACGGCGGCTGGTGGAAGTTCGGTGCTGGCTCCTCGTACAGGAAGGGCATGACGAAGGGATGCTTGAAAAGAGAGAAGCAGTAGATACTGAAGTAAGTGTGGGTTTAAGGAGGGGGAAACGGCTGAACCCCATTGGAGACCTTCGTCTGCCCTGCTTAGTTTTCTAGCTAGGGGAAGCTTGATAGAGATCAGTGGCTTTGCGGTTCGATGCTTGATTTGCAAAATTCCGAATTTACGGCTCGTTTGAAACAGCGAAGCACTCAGCTCCGTCTCTCGCTCATTTGCCGCTATTGCTCCCCGCTAACCCCGGATCACACAAGACCCTTGTATCTATCTCCTAAGTGTAGTTTTGGACATCTCTGTAGTGACATGATAACAGTGAGCTATTGCGATAGCAATGACCACCGGCAAAAGATCCTTACGAGCAGATAGCAATGACCACCGGCAAAAGATCCTTACGAGCAGTTCATAAAGAGTTTGGAAATGCATCGAAAAATATTTATGTATGTCGTGGTCACACAAAATGATGTGTTTATGACGGTTATTCTAGTGGGTATTGGAGGGTTATCTCGTTGTTATTGGGCTTAATACTCTCAATAATCTCACAAAACCCTCGAATGACAGGAAATAAGATTAGTGTCGAACCGCGGAATGTATTAATGAATTGTTGAGAGGTTATTGAGATGTTATTGAGTTAATACCCCCAATAATTTAGTTATTAGGAGGTTATTTGAGGTCATACACAAGCAGAATTGCATGTGTATGATGTACGTAAATAACGCTCTAGTAACTGAGAGAGAAACTAAGCGGCATCGCTTCTCCAAATAAGTTCTTATATTTGAAGGATTTAGTAAATTTTGTAAACTTGAATTCATGCAGTCATGTTAAATCGCTTCATGATGTTTGGCTCCGCTTATGTGATCAGAGCTCTTTTTCCTTAAATTCTCTAGGGGTTGTATGCAACGAATGAGATTTAACTTATTATGATTTAGTAAATTCCTTAAACATGAAAACTTATTAGCAATGAAATCATGTAAATCCGACAAATCCATTGAAGTTCTATCTATATCCAGGTAAATCTCAATAGCTCTATCCCCTAAATCCCATAAATCCATCTATTCACGATGCTTAATAAATCTAGGATTTACGGCTGAAATTCGCAAGACCGGATTTATCAAATTCGTGACTTTATTTTCTCCAAAATGTTTGTTTTACAATATTTAGTCTACATCCATGTTAAATTCTGCTCTAAATTTGTTACATAACAGCTCACTAAATCCGACTATCAATATATTTTTTTTAAAAAAATTAGATTGTGTTGCGAATGACCGAAAAAAAGGAATTAACTACCTTTCATATTTAACTTTCTGTTTTTTAAATCTCGTGGGATTTACATTAATGTAGGGTAAATCATGATTAAAAAGAGCTACCAAACACCCCCTTACTGTATCAGTAACCTGATTGCTTCATTTGGGGGTTATCATTCTTGTTGAATGGTATTATAGAGGGATTTGTGTATTTTAAAAAGTATGAGAAGAAGCATTAATTGAACGAATCATCAAAGATTGTAAGGCCTATTCCAAAATGTTTGTTGGCCATATATGCTCCCATGTAAATATTTCAACCTTATAATAGGGTTGTTTAAATCCTCCATAAAATCCGTCTGTGTCATTTCCTTCTTCGCGATGATCCTTCGATTTTATTACTGATGAATCATATTTAAAGCTAGGATGAGAGAGTAGTTTCACCATCTACTGTAATATTTTTTCCTTGTTTCTAACTACCTGAATTCTTTTGCATTATGGCATTTAGCATCACTTAATAAATTTTGATCTCAGTGCTTCATAAATGATAAATTTAAAAGTTTGTGTTATATATGTGAACACATAGAACTTTCTAATGCAGCATTTTATTTTTACAACAATGTTATATTAATTGTATTTTTAGATTTCCTTACTTGTGTCCGGGAATTTAGAAGTGTGACCCGGTTTTCTATTTGGAACAACGCTAGTGTACTTCATGAAGCTTGCATTTGTTTGTTTTGATAGCTGCATTCAATAAATTATAAAGCATTTTCTTATGTACAACAATGTTGTATTGGTTGTACTTATGAATTTTTTAACTTTTGCACAAGAAAATTTGGAGCACAACAGTGTTTTTTTTTTTCCTTAAAACAGCATAACCGTGCTTTAGAAAACTTGCATTAATAATTTTGAGTCTTTTATGAGTGCAATCATGTTTTTTATTTGGAACAACGCGTGAATTGTGTATTTTAAGTAGCCTGCATGTTTTATTTCAAATATAATGCTCCATTTTCTTTAGCACAACAATATTGTATTAGTTGTGCTTGTGTATACTTGACTTTTTCTCGAGAAATATAGAAGTATAAGCATGCTTTTTTTATTTGCAACAACACAATTTTATACTTTAGGTATCTCCTTTTTAGTTGTTATTTAAACATTAAATTATGTACAAACAAGTTGGATTATAGTAGTTGACTTATCATGTAATTTTGGATTATTTTATTATATATATATTTTTAAGAATTCCTTTTGTACAAGCATTTTATTCAACTGTATTTATTTACTAAATCATTCATAAATTTATATGCTCAATAATGTTCATCTTCATGTTGGTGTACCCCATTGATTGTTGTTTTTACTAGAACATGAAGTAAATGTCTATTAATATAAGGCACATTAACAACTGATAACAATACCATTTAAAAGGTAATAAATTTTGACAACAATGTCACGTAAGAGATATTAATTTTATTGTAATAATACATATGTTAAACATTTGGGCATGGTAGAAAAAGAGATGTTAGTTATGACTCTCTATGTTCTTCAATTATTTCGCTTATCTTTTTTTTGACATGATAATATTGAGTGGGAGATAACATTAAAATAATCATTAATAAAAATATTGATATAAAACATCAAAATAATAATTAATAAAATATTGATATAAAACATAAAAATAATAATTAATAAAAATATTGATGTTATTAATAAAATTGTGATAACTTTTAAAGTGAGATATATCTAATAAAAATTTTTAATGAATTCTTACAAGTATTTTTATGGTCGCCTCCGAGTCTGCATCGCCCACATTTATAAACATATATTCTCTTTGTCAAATTGCTCTATAGAATGTTTCCAACACTTGCCCGCTACCTCAACTCAGACATATTCATTGAATGAAGCAATCATTTGCATAGCTTCAACATCATTGGTAATATGAATATATTCTCTAGGTGATGTTCCACATTCATAACGTGAATATATTTTGGCACTTGCCCGCTAACTCATTCTCTTGTCCTTTAAGTCAAGGACAAACCACATCAATCTCATGTTAGAAATTCATGTTTAACATTTATGACACAAATTTTAAAGTACATAATAGCCAAGATCTTTTAAATTCATGATTTTCACATATATATAATAAAGTCACGCATATTTGTATTCATGATGATAAAATTTGATCTTGAAGAGATGGAGTTTATCTCTCTAATCCCTTGAAACTTTATGTACTTTCTGATTGAGGGAAATGTACGAGGTGTGTTAAGAAGAGAGATGACCAATTCTCTGAATTATGCCTTATTTATCTAACATCCATCAAGGGGGTTACTAACCAATAGGATTTATGATAATTTAATAAATTAATTGATTTTTATTATTAAAATCAATGACATAAGTTAGTAACCCTTATTCATTTTAGAGATTACATGAGTTACAAAATTAATATCATAAGTTATCATAAGTTATGACATAAGTTAGAAGTTAAAATAATTAATAATTTAAGCTATCATGAGTTATAAAAATAAATA